TCGGAATCAATGCAGGTTGGCCCTGAAACCCTTTTTAACCCATTAACCCTTTAACCGTTAATTAACCCTTGAACCCATTAACCCATTAACCCTTTAAACTCAAATCCTTACACCTTAAACCCTAAACTCAAACCCCTAAACCCCAATTCCTAAACTCAAACCCCTAAAACCCGAAACCCCTAAACCCCTGCCGCCCCGAACAAAAAAAAAGCACTTAAGCTCAACAAAAAGAATATGTGAGACCATCCCGGATAAACTGCACAAGGTCTCTAGAGTCCCAGCTCACCTCTATGAGATGAGGGTTTAGGGTTTAGGGTTTAGGGTTTAGGGTTTAGGGTTTAGGGTTAGGGTTTAGGATCTAGGGCCCCAAATCACCCTAAAGAGTTCTTCTAAACCTCAGACCGGTCATCATAGGTTTCCCTACTGCCTACTGACCCCTACACCCCCCCCCCAGGTTCCCCCCTAGGTTCCCCCCTCCCTTAATTAACCTCAACTAGGCTAATTTTGCAGGGAAATAGCCTATTTAGGGAAGCTGGGGGGGGGGGGGGGTAGTAGCCCTAACCCCTAAACCCTAACCCCGGGGGTAGAAAAGAGGGGGGCAATATGGAGGGGGGGGTAGGGGAACCATGAGATGAGGGGACTGCGAGCTTACCCGCCCCAAGCCCTGAAGCCCTAAAAAACCGAAGAAGCTCCACTTGGATGCTTTACAACTCCAAATATTCTGCTACTTATAACCTTCTTAGAGGACTTATGTGGCTTGTAAGTGCAGCTATAGTTAAAGCCCTAATCCCTACACTAAACCCTAAAGCCTAAAGCCTAAACCCTAAACGCTAAACCCTAAACCCTGAACCCTAAACCCCCTAGTCCCTACTTCCCTCATTCTTCCACAGGGGCACCTGCAAGCAGATGTGCAGGGGAGGAATCGCCCTGGCGTTCGGCACAGCTCTGCGAGCTGTTGAAATACAGTGTGTTTGGGGTTTAGGGTTTAGGGTTTGGGGTTTAGGGTTTAGGGTTTAGTGTGTAGGGTTCCTCTCAGGACCTCAACAACAGTAAGGTCCAAGGTTCGCGTAAGTTCAAGGCCCTCATGGACGCCGCACCTGGCGTCATCCGACGCCACCAGCGCAGCCTTGGCTACCACAAATGGTTCATGGTACTTGCAACCGACCTATAACTGCACCGAAACCCTAAACCCTAAACCCTAAACCCTAAACCCTAAACCCTAAACCCTAAACCCTAAACCCCCCTTAAGCGCCCCTAATCCGGCCAAACTTCGGTTATATGCACAATCCTGATTGGGCTTTTGCAGCACCATGAACCTCTCCAAGTACAGCAGGGCCCCTAACCCGAAACCAGGCGTGCCGTGGTGATGGGTGCTCGCATTTAGCGGGGGCTTGTGATTTTCTGGGGCGCGCCTGAAATCCGAAGGCCCCACTAAACCCTATACCGCAAACCACCCTAAACCCTAAGCCCCAAGCCCTTAACCCCGCAGCCCAAATTCCCAAATCTAAATCCCTACATCATTCCCATCCCTACATCATACCCCCAAACCCTAAGCCCGAAACCGCGAAAACCTGTGGTCAGACTTTCTGAGCAAAAGATCACCCAGAAAGCCCCCCCCCCCCCCCCCCCCCCCCATCCCAACCGCTCAACTGAGGAATAAACCTTCAACGACATCAGGATCCTTATTCTGGTATAAGGAGCACACCTTCAACTGATATACTATACAACTTACAGTTTCTGCGTGTACCAAGAAGCCCAACTCAACCCTAAACCTTAAACCCATAAACCCATAAACCCATAAACCCTAAACCCATAAACCCTAAACCCTAAACCCTAAACCCTAAACCCTAAACCCTAAACCTTACATCAAAGGATGTTCGGCCCTGCAGGGAGGTGCAAAGGGTCTGGGCAGGACCCAAACCCTAGCAGCCCTTTATCCAATAGCCGTTGCGATCTTGAGGGTGCCTGCGATAGCCTCCTGAGGGTTTAGGGTCTAGGATTTAGGGTTTAGGGTTGAGGGTTTAGGGTTTAGGGTTTAGGGACTCGGGAACTGCTGAGGCGAGCACAACATCGAGCACAAGTTCCCGCAGGTGCTCCCCTGCGGGGGGGGGGGGGGGGTGGGGGGGGGCAGGGCTTATGGGGGTTTAGGGGGGGTTTAGGGGGGGTTTAGGGGGGGTTTAGGGGGTTTAGGGGGGGCTTTGGGGGTTTCGGGGGGGTTTAGGGGGTTTGTTCATGGGCAGAACCCCAGTTCATATCCTACTTATAACCTATTTAGAAGACTTAGGGCCTTATAAGTCTACTTATCATCGGGTTTATAAGTACCCTGAACCTCCAAGTAGGATTTAGGGATCTCTTGAAGTAGAGTGCTTATGCTGGGCAATTCGTGTCGCAAGTCGTTGCTGGGTGGTGCAATGCTGGGAAGTTGCAACGCCACAAAGTATGAGGTTAAGGGTCTGTTTATAATCAGAAGAACGGGCCTAACGTTGCACAGAACGCATGCAATTCACAAACCAGAATATATCTATACATGTAACGCATAGGAATGATAAAACACAGGCTGGCTGCTTTCATGGTTGTTCCAAGGTCAGGTCAGGCCTCGCGCAAGAACGTTGAAACTCACCCCCTTGAGAAACTCCAACAGCAGTGCGAGAATACCGAGAAGACGACTCAATATTAGTATGAACATGAATATGTATATTTATACGGTTCACGTACATACATATGTATATATATATACATATGTATGTATATTTAGATGTACATTTTTGCACATATACAAAAATAGTAAATAATTACTAAACAGAGAGCGAGCGAGAGAGAGAGAGAGAGAGCGAGGGAGATTGACAAACACGCAAACCCTACAACCTGAATAGGGAGCGCTGCAAGCCCCAACTCCCTGTGAAAAAACACTGCTGAACGAGATCCTCTTCAACCCAACAAGGGAATAAATTCAAGTTGTCCCAAAATCTTGAACCTGGTACCTGAAACCTTGTACACCCCCAAGCTTCAGTTGCCCATAACCGGGGTGCGGGCTGCGACCGGGGGACGTGACAGCGTCAACCTAGAGTCGTGGGATTTAAAGGTCAACCTTTGGGATTATGAGGGGAATGTATTACCCGAAAAAGGTTCCAGGTTACCCACTCTACTACCAAGGAAGACTTGTCGGGTTAGGGCTTAGCGATTGGGAATTGGGTTTTTTGTGTGTTATGGCAGCTAGGGTGGCCGCTTAGGGCTCTAGGCTTCGGAGCTTTGTGGTTTTTAAGGCGGTTTAGGTTGAGGACTTTCGGTTTGAAGGGTGAATAACACGGCTTCTGGGTTTAGGGTTTAGGGTTTAGAGTCAAGGCAACAGAACTAAGTTACATTTCCAGGGGTTGCGGTAGGGTTTGAGGGCTTCAGTTGCTAGAGGTCTGTGGGGCTTTGTATAGGGTTTTGGGGGGGTTTGTGAAGGTCTAGCAAGAAGGGCAGTAGCAAGCACAACGAGAGGCACGCCGCATGGTGTAGGGCTGATGAGTATGAACCACAGCTCCATAGACGAACGCCCGCGACCCCAATGGCAAGAGAAGCCCATGCTCCTATGACCAGGTTTCCTAAATAAGGGGTACCTTATGGCGGTCCTTATTAAAAGGGGATCCTGCTACTTGGGGTCAAAGTTGCGGCCCTTTAGTTTCGGTTCGTAAATCCCCCGCTTCACAATGCTCCAAGGGAGGGCTAAGTCTTGCTTCAGGATCGCATTCAAGGGAGAGGATGACGAATGCGTGAACAACCCGGCAAACACGGAAAGGGTGTCAGGGTTTGGGGTTTAGGTTGGGATGTTCCCTCTTTTATACTAACTGTCCTTAATACAGATTGAAGTACCCCCTATTCTCATCCCTATTAAGGACTGATAGTATAAGGGGGAATATCCCAAATCATTAGGGTTTCTTGTTGATACCCTCAAATCTCGGAGCAAAAGGACCCGTAAAAGCATGTGTAGCCGACTGCGGCCACAAAACACCCCAATCCTCAAACCTAGACTCCCTCGCCCTAGAGCCTAACAACACACCCCTGAAAAGACCTCCTAAACCCAAAAGTCCCCCTAGGAGCACCACCAAAACACATTGAAAACACTCAAAACCCCGCTTAACCAAAACAAACTAAGCTACAACAGACACTAAAGCCCTGAACAACCCTGACAAGATTAAGCCCTCACCCCTGAACCCTAACCCCAAACCTTAACCCCTAAACCCTTACTTGGAAGTTTCTTTTGACTTGGTAAGTTGGGCTAGCAAGGTGGGTTATGGGGATTACAATCGGGTTTCTAGGGGTTAGTAAGTAGACTTACTAAGTCAAAAGAGCTTCTCACTGAGGGCTGGGACTCGAGTTGCGAGCACGCAGCCCCTGGGACCCATGCCTTTTGCTGAAGATGGTTTGTTTTTCTGGTTTAGGCTTTAGGGTTTAGGGTTTAGACTTTAGGGTTTAAGTGGGTTTAGGGGTCTAGAAGTTTAGGGTTTAGGGTTTCTTGGGGGCCTTTGTGGGGTTAGGCGAAGTTCGGGGCTGGGATTCCAAGTGGTTTGCGTTTTCTTGGGGGTGTCTTTGTTGGCGTGCTTTTTGATGAGCTCAGGATTGCTTCTTTTGAGTGCGTGATTGCTTCTTTTGGGGGTGCTGAGCGGTCCAGGGGTGACTATAGCCTGAAGCATGTCAAGACCTGCCAACCCTAGAAAACCTAACCCTGAGTCCCAAACGCCAAAGCCCTCAAACCCTATAAACCCTAAACCCCGATCACCCCCCAAGCCCTAAACCCCAATCAACCCCATACCCTAAACCCGAAACCCTAAACCCCACAGCGCAAACCCTAAACCCCATACCCTAAACCCTGGGCTTGGCCCTAAGCCCTAAACCCCTGAACCCCAATCCATGAATCCGAAGCAATGTCTGCTATTTACTTAGGGACCCCCCCCCCCCTCAAAAATTATCTTTATAAGGGTGATCTAGTCTTTTCATATACAGTTTTTTGGGGATCCTTAAGCAAAATAGTAGCAAGCTTGCGGGCTGGGCGGAGGGCTCAACAGAAGCCGATCGGCAAAGCCCGAACCTGCAGAGCTGGCTTCTCGTCGTTTCTCAATGGGGTTTAGGGTTTAGGGTTTAGGGTTTAGGGTTTAGGACATAGGGCTTGGGGTTTAGGGTTTAGGCATTTGGATTGCTCAAAGTGAGGACATAATCGTGATAAGTGGGATACCTCTAGTGCTAGCAAGTTCTAGCTATGTACATACAACCTCCGTTGGGGTGCGTTGATAAACGTCATAGAACTCCCAATGACTAGGCTGCCCAAAAAACCAAGGCTTAAAAAGGGTGCCCTTTTTTGCTTAAAGGGGTTTATAAGGGAACCTAAACCCCCAAAAAAGGGAATAAGGGTACTACTGGGCATCCTAGATGAAGTTGCAAGTAGGGGAGGCTTTGTCTGAGGGTACAAAGGCAAGACCCCCAGTCTCATGGCATTCCAGGTGTTAAACAGGGTTTGGGAGTCCACCCCGGAAGCATGTGAAGTTTAGGGTTTAGGGTTAGGGTTTAGGGTTTTAGGGTTTTAGGGTTTTAGGGTTTTAGGGTTTAGGGTTTAGGGTTTAGGGTTTAGGGTTTAGGGTTTAGGGTTTAGGGTTTAGGGTTTAGGGTTTAGGGTTTAGGGTTTAGGGTTTAGGGTTGAGAGGTTCCCTAGGCAGGGCTCTAAAGGGGTATTTGATCTCACATGCTGCAGGAACCTCTTGAAAATTGCCCGCCTACAATCTCTCACTATAGTGGAAACTTACCATAAAAAACGGCCCTCTTATACATTAAACGTTCAATCTTGGGATGTTCCCCCTGATACTGACAGTCCTTAGTAGGGATTAAAGTACCCCCTATCATAATCCCTATTAAGGACTGCTAAAAAAAGGGGGAACATCCCAAACAGTGTACGTTAAATCTTCAATCCTGCGCGTGCGAAGGATGTCCGGTGCAAGAAAGCAAAAACCCTATGCTCTAAGCCCTAAACCCTAAACCCTAAACCCTCTGCTCGGGAACCGTGCAAAAACTTCAGTCAAACATCACTTGCTACAGGGTGTCGCGCTCCCTCAAAGCACTTCTCTCCATATGTCCGTGGTTTAGGGCTTGGGATTTATAGGTTTTAGGGTTTCAGGTTTACTTAGGGCTTAGGGCTTAGGGCTTAAGGTTTAGGGTCTGAGGTTTAGGGCTTAGGCTGGAGGGCTTCGGGCTTAGGGTCTAGGGGTTTAGGGTTTAAGATTTATAGGGTTTAAGATTTTCAGGGTCTAGGGTTTGGGGTTTAGGGTTTAAGATTTATAGGCTTTAGGGTTTAGGATTTATAGGGTTTAGGGTTTAAGATTTACAGGGTTTAGGGCTCCAATCTGCCTGAAGAGAGCGCTTCCACCGCCGCCGCGCGGAGAGGTGCTGGGAGGCCGCCCTGGAGACCCGGCTCAGTGGGGGGCTTTGAGTGCCTCTTAGGGTTTTTAGGGTTTTGGGGCGTTTAAGAGGGTTTAGCCCTAAACCCTAAACCCTAAACCCTAAACCCTAAACTCTAAACCCTAAACCCTACATACCCTTTGTAGGGTTTAGGGTTGGGAACCCGCAACTCTACTTCTTGTAGGGATATACGTAAGAATCCAAAAAGGACTTGCTAAATCACAACCTACGTTTTGCGTCTTCTGGGTTTAGGGTTTAGGGTTTAGGGTTTAGGGTTTAGGGTTTAGGGTTTAGGGTTTAGGGTTGAATCACCGGCTTCTCCCGTCTTTGGGACCACAAGTCCCAAGTTCTCGACTAAGAACCTCTATCCCTGAAACCAATCCGAAAGAATGCAAACCCCGAACAAATCACGAATTCCCGACGAAGAGCCCCCCAACCCCTGCCGGGCTCAGGAACCCTCATGGCTGCCCGGAACCCTGAACCCGGAACCCTGAACCCTAAACCCTAAACCGCTGAACCGCTAAACCCTGAACCCTGAACCCTGAACCCTAAACCCTAAACCCTAAACTCTCACCCCTAAACCCTAAACCCTAAATTTGGACTTGCAGCAGGCCTGCCAATCCAGCTTCCCTCCTGCCGGCTTCCCTGCACAGACGAGATTCAGGAGATGAGACGCACCCCCAACAGAAGAACCCAACCGGTTTGGGGTTTAGGGTTGATCGAGGGTTTAGGGTAGAAGACCCCCGACCCCCAAACCCTCACGAAGGAATCCCATCCCCACTCAAGTCCCCTCTTATAGGGTTTCGGGTTTAGGGTGGTTTAGCCCTAAACCCTAAACCCTAAACCCTAAACCCTAAACCCTAAACCCTAAACCCTAGACCCTAGACCCTAAACCCTAAACCCTAAACCCTAAACCCTAAACCCTAAACCCCCTGAGGCGCACCGAGCATGGCCATCAGCTCGTCGAAGTTGGGTGCCGCAAGGTCCCAGCGAAGGGCAAGACATCCTGCAAAGGTCGGTCGCCCTAAACCCTAAACCCTAAACCCTAAACCCTAAACCCTAAACCCTAAACCCTAAACCCTAAACCCTAAACCCTAAACCCTAAACCCTAAACCCTAAACCCTAAACCCTAAACCCTAAACCCTAAACCCTAAACCCTAAACCCTAAACCCTAAACCCTAAACCCTAAACCCTAAACCCTAAACCCTAAACCCTAAACCCTAAACCCTAAACCCTAAACCCTAAACCCTAAACCCCGATCCCGAAACCAGAAGCGCTCGGCGTGCTCAAGTTGCACCACGCGCCTCTGGGTGCTTTCGCCACGGAGACCGGGTCGAACCTCGGCGAGTCATGGGGGGAGTGGGGGTTTAGGGTTTAGGGTTTAGGGTTTAGGGTTTAGGGTTTAGGGTTTAGGGTTTAGGGTTTAGGGTTTAGGGTTTAGGGTTTAGGGTTTAGGGTTTAGGGTTTAGGGCTAGGGGTTCAGGGTTCCGGGTACAGTTAACTCCAAGAAGCTGGAACATCATTATCCTCCTACGCCAAGAGGGTTACTAAAGGGAATCCCAGCACCAATCGTCCGTAAACCATGTTCCAACTTTCTGGAGTTTACTGTTTTAGGCTTCGGGTTTAGAATGCGGGTGTAGGGTTTGGGGCGGGCTTTCAAAAGCACATTTTTTGGACCACCTTTGACTCCGACACAGCGACACTTTCTGTTGTTTCACGAAAAACTGCCTTTTGGCAAAGAGTCTAGAAAGAACTACAGAATTGTTGCGTTTTTTGTTTCAGCTTTCCGGGCCTCGAATGTTTGTTTGTGTTTTTCGGTGCGGCTCATGTGGCGTTCACAACGTGCTATTTTCCGGACACTGCGGAAAAGCCCGGCAGCTCGCGCGAAACAGACAATGACTCTCGCGCCTCAGCTTGGAAAACGACAGGAACCGTGCTCAAACCCCTAAACCCTAAACCCTAAACCCTAAACCGAGCCACAGTTTACTCAGCAGTTCGGCAAGCCAGCGTGCAAACCGTGGACCACATCTGCTCACTTGCGAATTTCGTCAGGCTCTCACTTTTCAGTCGAATCGAAGTTGAAGTAGCTAAACCCTAAACCCTAAAACCCTAAACCCTAAACCCTAAAAAACCTTAAACCCTAAACCGTAAACCCGAAACCCTAAACCCTTTCTGGATTTAGTCAAGTCGTTGGATACCCGGCCGAGGCTCGGTAGATCAACAAGAGCATGCGATTGGCAAAGGCGAAATGGCTGGGAATAACCCTAAACCCTAAACCCTAAACCCTAAACCCTAAACCCTGAACCCTAAACCCTAAACCCTAAACCCCTGAAAACTCATATGCAAGGTAAGAATACCCACAGCTTGCACCGGTAGGACGACCAGTCTTGGGAGCCGACATGCTTCCCAGACTCCCAGCAGATCCCTGTACTGCAGTATGTAGGTACATATGTATATATCTACACCCATGCAAATATAATATATATATATATATATGTCTATATAATACCCATACACACAGTTGTTCATCTTGTTGATATAGACTTGGTAGCCCAGCAAACATCTTATAGTAAGGGTACCCTTTCGAGGGGTTGGTTACTTTATAAAGGAACCGTGAACCAAGAAAAGGGAAACGGGCACCACTGGCTACCAAGAAAGTAAACCCCGAACCACAAACCCCAAACCCTAAACCCTAAACCCCAAACCCTAAACCCTAAACCCCAAACCCTAAACCCTAAGCAGACCCAAGAACCGCACCAGGCCGGCACTCGGGCCTGGCGACAGCTCTGCAGTGCTGCCTGGCAGCACTTGGAGGTTCATGGTGCTTATGAACCCAATAATAAGGGGGGGTTTAGGGTTTAGGGTTTGGGGTTTAGGGTTTAGGGTTCAGGGTTTAGGGTTTAGGTTTTAGGGTTTTAGGGTTTTAGGGTTTTGGGGGTTTTAGGGTTTTAGGGTTTTAGGGTTTTAGGGTTTTAGGGTTTTAGGGTTTTAGGGTTTTAGGGTTTAGGGTTTAGGGTTTAGGGTTTAGTGTAACTGCACTAATAACCCAATTCTAACCACATTAGGGCACTTCAGGGGCTTGCTTCTAAGTGGGCTATAAGTGCAGTTCGCATTGGTCAACAAGTACCATGAGCCTCCAAGCAAGGGACGTGGGGTTTTTTTGAGCTCGGGGTCCGCACAGCAAAAGAAACCACAGGGTTTAGAGTTTAGGGTTTGGGGTTTAGGGTTTAGGGCTTAGGGTTTGGGGTTTAGGGTTTAAGGTTTCGGGTTTGGGGTTTCGGGTTTGGGGTTTCGGGTTTTGGGGTTTAGGGCTAGCCCTAAACCCTAAACCCTGAACCATGAATGGGCCATTCAGGACGATAAAGGGGCCGTGGACCATTGAGGGACTGCTAAGGTGCACTAGGGTTTAGGGTTTAGGGTTTAGGGTTTGGGGTTTAGGGTTTAGGGTTTAGGGTTTGGGGTTTGGGGTTTGGGGTTTAGGGCCGGGCACGGCGTTTTGTTTGCCCACTCTTTTCCTAGTGGTTCTTTTTTCTGTGGTGTGGGGGAGGGACTCTTCTCTTGGGATGTTTTTTTGAACTTGAGGCCTTTCGAGCCTTTCGGGCTTAGGGGTTGAGGGCTTGCAGTATGTTTTGGATAAAATAAACCCTAAAACCCTAAAAAAAGAGCCCAAAACCCTAGAACCTTAAAACCTTAAAACCTGAAAACCCTAAAAAAGAGCCTAAAACCCTAGAACCTTACCCTAAAACCCTAAAACCCTAAACAGCCCAAACAACCCCCAAAAACCCTAAAAACCTTAAAACCTTAAAACCTTAAGCCCCAAAAACCCTAAAAAGCCCTAAAACCCCAAGCAGCCCAAAAAACCCTAAAACCTTCGAACCTTAAACCCTAAAACCCGAAAAAGCCCCAAAAAAACCTAACCCCCCCCCCCCCTCCTCCCCCCCAAAACCCTAAAAAAAAACCTAAGACCCTAGAACCTTAAAACCCCAAATAGCACAGAAAACCCCCCCCCCCCCCCCCCCCCCGAAGCGCCTGAAGCGCCGCCGGCGCCAGGTTCGCCTCGCAGAGGCAGAGGCCGGCGTTGGCCTTGCAGGCTCTCTCGGTTTTTTGTTTTTACCTCTCTCTCTCTCTGACTCTCTTTCCTTTTTTTTGTTTTGGGGGGGGGGGGCTTTTTTAGGGTCTAATAAGGTTTTTTTTTCTTCTCTCTCTCTCTCTATTTGTGAGGGGGGGGGAGGGCGGACTTGTTTAGGGTCTAATAAGGTTTTGTTAGGCTTTCTTTTGTACTTGTTGGCTCTTTGTTGCTTTCTTTTGCATTTCGTGTTGTTCTTTTTGGTTTTTGTTAGGGCCTCAGAAAGGGTTGATTAGGCTTTGTTTTGTTCATTTTGGGTGTTTTTGGATAGTTAATTAAATAAAGTCATGTATTGTTTTTGCTGTTTTTATGGTTTAGGGTTTATGGTTCAGTTAGGGTTTAAGGTATACTGAGTTTTGATTCTGGTTTTTTGTGCGGGGGGCCAGGGGGGGGGGGGGGGGAGTGGGGCAGGGGGGGGGGGAGAGGGGGGGGGGAGTGGGGGAGGGGGGGGGGGGGTATTGCTTTTTTGTTTACGTTTTCGGGCCTTTGTTGTTTTTTAAGGCTTCCGGGGCTTTAGGGTTAGGACTATTTATGGTTTGGGGTCTTGCGATTTCAGGGTTAGTTAAGGGATTAAGGTCTTAGGCCTTGGGGTTAAGGGGTGTTCGTTGGTTTAATTGAAATTGGTCTGGTGCGAATGTCTTAACTTGGGCCTGAAAGTACTTCCTCTGCAACCCAAGTATATGAATGAGGTACATGGACCCTTATAGGGTTACCCTAAACCCTGAACCCCAAATAGGGAATTGCGGGGGACCCATGACGGGCCTTGCAGGCACCCAAAATTGGACCCCAAACCCTAAACCCTAAACTCTAAACCCTAAACCCTAGGGTTTTGAGGCTTGCACTCCAGACCCACACCTGCTTGCTGAGATCCAGACCAGGTGGTCACAGCGCTGGGAAACACTGGCGGCGCTGATGGAGTCGAGGATTGCCATGTCCTTGGTGAGAGTTAGGCCCTAGACCCCAAACCCCAAACCCCAAACCCGAAACCCTAAACCCTAAACCCTAAACCCTAAACCCTAAACCTGGTTTAGAGTTTGGGGGCCGCAGCCTAGAAGTTCAAGGTTTAGGGTTGAAAGCCCAGGCAGATCTGCAGAAGCACTGCAGAAGCACTTGGAGGTTCAGGGTACTTATCCAATTATAAGCCCCCTAAGTGCCCTAGTATGGTTACTGAGTAAGTACCCTGAACCTCCAAGTGCTAGGACTGGTGGCGGGACTTGTCCGACGTGCTAGGTATGTTGTTCCTCGGAGCTGCCGAAGCTTCCTCCCACCCTAAACCCTAATCCTACACCCTAAACCCTAAACCCTAAACCCTAAACCCTAAACCCTAAACCGGGTCTCCTCCTGCTCCAGTCGCGATGCAAAAACACCCTCCACAGCTTCTGAGTCCTTCAGGTAGCCTGTGCCAGCTCGGAAATTCTTCCACCCCGCCATGACACTCAACTCCTTCGCCTTCCACTCCACCAGGAGGTCACGGAGTCTCACTTCGCTGGGATCGGCGAGCAGTGTCTTGGCCAGGGCCTCCATGCGCTTCAAATCCATCCTGGTCGTAGCAGACGTGCTGTCTTTGACTGCGAAAACTCCCTGGTCGAGGGTTTCTCTGAGGAGCCGACGTGCCTCAGCGTCCAAGGAGGAATGGCAAACAATCAGCAAGGACTGCACGTACTCTTGGACAACGCGCCCATTCTCGGCCAGACTCAACTCGCCTGCATCCATTCCGCTCTGCAGGACCTGAAGGACGAACGTGGGGCGGCCCGCCAGGAGGTGCACTTTTGCTCGGGAGAGAAAACACATCAAATTAGGTTTGATGTTCTTTCTCATGAAGGTGTCCCACACGCTTTCGGCGCGTTTCCAATCTTTACGGTACGATATCCGTTCAAGCAAGCCGCACAGTACCACATAGTTCAGGACCTTGGTCTTTGTGGGATCTTCCAAGAATGCATCCACCTCATCACAACGCTCGTATTGCTCCAGAAACTGCAGGTAAGTGCTGTATGTGATGCCACTGATCGGAAAGGCAAGAGCGGATGCTTGCTCCCACAGATCCTGCCCCCAGTCGTGGGCTGTGTCAGAGCAAAGGTGGGTGGCAAGCTTCAACGAGCTGCTGCAGTAGCAGTTCAATTGTTCATCATCTGCTGATGCATCCATGGGCAGCTCTTTGCATAGCTGCCGGGCCAAGATAAAGGCTATGGTGGCCCGAGACTGCAGAACTCCGAAAGCACCCTGTTCTTTCAAGCAGGCAGTGAGGGCCGTCAAAGCAATGTTGACCTGGATTACATCCAAGCCCGAGTGTTGTGTTCGGTGATCGTACCGCAAGGCAAGCAAGGCTAGCAACTCTTGCCACCAACCCTTGAAGCCACATGTTTGCATCGCAGCACCCAGGACGCTGGGTTCGAGCAACTTGTTGGAGATGGCCTCCTCAATCTGGCACATCAGTTCGTCGGAGCTGCGAGACCTCTTGATTCTGCCACGCACGCTCGCAGCTTGCTTGGTCCTGCCCCGAGAGCCTCCGTTCGTGGGGCTGTTCAGAAAGTTCACTGGTGTAGTGCGTCCAGTTGGCCGGTTGTAGGAAGGCCTCTTCAACATGCGCTGGCGTCGCGCTGGCGGCACCTGCCGAGGGCGCGAGTGACTCCGCAAAGGCACCACGCTCGGCCTCAGCGCCGAAAGCAGGCCCACGCCCCAACTGCAGAGACGACGGCCAGTGCAGAACGCCTGAGACTTGCGACCGCGTCCTTTTTGGAAGCCCGGTGGCATGGACGATTGTGCCGGCACCCTTGCCCATGCAGCTGGGCTAAACATGGCTTCGAACCCTTCGGCTTTAGCAGAGGCTATTCTCTGGGCTAAAGTACTAGAGGAACTACTACCACTACCGCTACCGCACGAGGACGACGGCGACTACGACTACTACTTCTACAACTACTATGACTACTAGTGCGGCTTAGGGTTTAGGGTTTAGGGTTTAGGGTTTAGGGTTTAGGGTTTAGGGTTATAAGAGAGACAGATATGTATATATATATATATATATATATATAATTCGTATCCGCGAAGAGCCACCACTAGAACTCCACGTCGAGCACTGCCATCACTGGCTTTGCATCAAGTTTAGGGTTTAGGGTTTAGGGTTTAGGGTTTAGGGTTTAGGGTTTCCATACTTCTCTCACCCCCCAACCCTCCGACCTGCTGCAGGAGCCTATGCGGCAGGAGTGTCTGCTTGGGGTTGGGAGAAGGGAGTGCAACAACTAGGCAAGTAGGTACCTTGTAGCCCCACGTTAATCATGCTCTCAAGGGCTTGTTCAATGTCAAGATACCTCATTTCCCCAAGAAAAACTGCGAAATGCTGCGAAGAACAAAAACCTGCACCCTAACCCCAGCCCCCACCCACCCCAAACCAGCGAACACGTGCTATATCAACCCTAAAAACCCTAAACCCTAAACCCTAAACCCTAAACCCTAAACCCTAAACCCTAAGGGTCAGAGAGGGCCTTAGGGTTCACACTCTCGAGCTCATACAAGCTGAGGGCTTAGGTTTGTAAGGTTTGGCTTTAGGGCTTCGATAACGAGAGAGGCTCCAAGGTCGGGGCGCCCGAAAAAACCGATGCCAACAAGCCCTGCAGGGCAAATGGGGTTTAGGGTTTAGGGTTTAGGGTTTAGGGTTAGGGCTTAGGGTTTAGGGTTTCGGTTTAGGGTTTAGGGTTTAGGGCTTAGGGTTTCGGTTTAGGGTTTAGGGATTAGGGTTCAGGGTTTAGGGTTTAGGGTTTAGGGTTTAGGGTTTAGGGCATAGGGTTTAGGGATTAGGGTTTAGGGTTTAGGGTTTAGGGATTAGGGTTTAGGGCATAGGGTTTAGGGTTTGGGGCACCGTGTCCCCCGGCCGCCACAGCACCCACGAGCTCGCCCTTGCCATCCAAGAGTGCTGTGTAAGTTGCCTCGGGAAGCTGAGCTGAGGGGCCTGTGAGCTTGAGGTTTTCAAGTTGTTGGTTTGGGAGTTAGTAGGGTTTAGGAAGTTTAGGGTTTAGAGGGTTCAGGGTTTAGGGTTCAGGGCTTAGAGGCTAAGGTTTGGGGTGGTAGGGACCCTGACGCCCACCCCGTTTTGCCCCAGTCTCGGCTTTGAGGGTATGCATCCCCGGGGGCCTGGGTTTTCGTGCTCCTAGGGTCTCAAAGGGTACTGATAAATTAGGGCTAAACCCTAAACCCTAAACCCTAATTAGGGTATTTAGAGTTTGGGGAATTTAGGGTTTCGGCTCTAGGGTCTTCGTGCAAGGCAGAGCTGGTTTAGGGCGAAGTTACAGGGTTCAGGTTTAGCGACTCAAGGTTTTAGGGCTTACAGGTAAGCAAACCCTAAACCCTAAACCCTAAACCCTAAACCCTAAACCCTAAGCGTTCAGGGTCCAGGGCGCTAGCCCCAGAAAAGCCGAGGGGACGGGGGGTGGGAGGCTATTCCGAATTAGGCCTGCTTCTGACTCTCTAGTCTCCAGTCTCGTCTGCTCACTTCACTACTTCTTGTAGGGTACGAAAAGGGCCCCTATAGCTTAGATCAATCCCCGCACCTTGGAGTTCGAGATGTGAGGACTCGTGGTCGCCCCAACCTGCTCTCTGCCCTCAGCCCGTCTAGGCGGAGAGCCCTGCTGATACCCTACGCCCTAAACCCTAAACCCTGACCTTGCTTAGACGGAAATCTCTTTAAAGACTCTCCCCCGACCCCTAAATCCCCAAACTGAGTTATGCTGGAAACCCCCAAACAAATGCCTCTGAACAGGTTCCCTTATGAAGAAACAAGGGAAATCAAGAACTAAACTCCAAACATCCCTCATTCAAGGACTTAGTTGTCCAGTACCTAATTTGGGGATTTAAAGGTTAACCTTTGGCATTATAAGGCGAATATATTACCCGAAAAAGGTTAAAAGTTACCTACTCTACTACTAAGAGGACAACTTTCTCAATTCTCAAGCCAGATGACGGTGCGCGACGTCGCCAAGACTTCCACGTCCTCTTCAGAGATGCTTCGCTGGTGGTCCAGGGCTTGGGGTTCAGACTCAGACCCTGAACCCTAAACCCTAAGCCGTAAACCCTGAACCCTGAACCCTAAACCCTCAACCCTGGACCCAGGGGCCAGGGCGCAGAGCTTGCGTACCTTGAATTAGATCTCCCGCTCTCACGGAACTTCTAGGCAAAGTCATTCCCGAACCGGTAGGCTATAGGGTTCTTAAGGGAGGCGGGTTAGGGTTTGTAGGGTTTAGGGTTTAGGGTTCAAGGGGGGTATGTAACCCGAGGTTCCGTAATACTCCCCACTCCTCCCTAAGGCTCCCTAAGTTTCCCTAAAGTTCCCTGGGTACCTATTTCCGATGAACCCCCCCTCCCTTAAGAACCCGTGGGTTTAGGGTTTAGGGTTTGGGGTTTAGGCTATAAGTAGATGGGCTTTTGGTATTTTGGGCGTGGGGTTTAAGCCTCATCCCTAAACACTATGTAAACATTTGGATTGCTTGGGCTTCAGGGCTACTTGGAAGCTCTTTTGACTCAGTAAGTCTACTTGTCGTATCGCCTAGGAACCCCAAAATAAGTTCCGCAACCCAACTTACTAACCCTACTTACGAAGTCAACCGGGCTTCCAAGTACCTAAGTCCTAAACCCTAAAGCCTACAATAGGGGGTCCAGGGTTCTGAGGGCTTGGAGGCTTGGGGCGCTGTTGGAGGGCCACAGAATGCTCTTTAAATCCTAAACCCTAAACCCTAAACCCCAAGCCCTAAACCCTAATCTTGAGGCTTGCAAGACCCTCTCATGGATCCTGACTGGGACTTGGGCACCGGCTACTGCGCAAGATCTGCTTCTTGACACATTTGCGGGTGGTTTAGGGTTTAGGGTTTACTTGGAGGTTCAGGCTATTTGCTAGCCCCCTGAAGCCGCCTCCGCCCCGGCGACCCTGAAACCTCCGCCCCTGCGCTCCTGCACGTCGATCCCAAGCTCGCGGCAGGAGTGCAACCTCCAAGGGTTCAGGGTGTAGGTTTTAGGGTTTATAGGGTTTAGGGTTTAGGGCTTAGGGTTTAGGGTTTAGGGTTTAGAGTTTAGGGTTTAGGGTTTAGGGTTTAGGGGGGTGCAGAGCTTGGTCCGGCTCAGGATAAACGCCCGTGAAACCCTAGGGAAACCCCGGCTTAGGGTTTAGGGTTTAGGGTTTAGGGTTTAGGGTTTAGGATTTAGGATTTAGGGTTTAGGCTTGAGGGTTGAGGGTTGAGGGTTGAGGGTTGAGGGTTGAGGGCTTAGGACCGACATGCTGATTCATTAAAACATGTCACGCTCAAAGGCCTCTACCACAGCCCAAAGCTTGAACCTCACACCTTCAGCCCCAAGCCCTAGCACCCCAAAACCCCGTCCAAAGAAACCCCAAACCCCACACCCTAAATCCAAAACCCCAAACCCTAAACCCCAAACTCAAGTCCCCAAACCCTAAACCTTAAACCCTAAACCCAAAGCCCTAAACCCTAAACCCTAAACCCCAAACCCTAAACCCTAAACCCTAAAACCCAATCTCCTTGCTCTGAGTGCCCGGACAGGGCCCTGCCCGCCGCATCGGCGCCGAGGGCTCCCAGAAGGGACACGGCGCAGCCGAGGCGGGCAGCCTGAGCTTAGACTGTTGCGGGTGGTGGGGAGTTTAGGGTTTAGGGTTTAGGGTTTAGGGTTTAGGGTTTAGGGTTTAGGGTTCGGTTCCAAATGTATATTCAGGGGGTTCAGGGTTTAGGTTTGGCATTTTGTCGGGTTTTTCAGGCTCTAGCTGTGTATTCAAGCGCAGTGGCCGGATTCAGGGACCGGGTAATTACGCGTAGAGTTCAGGGCTTAGGGCGGTAACTCTAGACCCTAAACCCTAAAATCTGTCTTACTTACGCCTCAACACACCTGTTCGAACCGTGCAAGTAAAATCCAGGCCAGCCGCCACCTCTGCAATGTTTCGGCCGACGCCACCCGGCCTACAGGGTTTAGGGTCTTAGGTTTAGGGTCTTAGGTTTAGGGTTTAGGGTTTAGGGTTTAGGGTTTAGGGTTTAGGGTTTAGGGTTTAGGGTTCGCTATGATAATCCTAAGCTCGGTACTGCTAGGGGCTCAATTAGGGTTAAGGGTGTTAAGGTTTAAAGGGCTTTTGAATAAGGTTTGGGCTTTAAACGGTTTATATAGGTTTTGAGGCTTAGAGGGTTTAAGGTTTCAAAGGTGTGGGGAAGGTGGAGATGAGCCACTCTTGAACTGTTGGGCTGTGTCCTGCGAGGTCCGAGCTAGCGCTAGGGGCCATGACTTCTAAGGGTTTCTCAGCGGCAGGGCTTTAACAAGTGGGGTCATATACCTTATACTACTACTGTACTTCCCTATACTGAACTTGGCACCCGTGCAAAATTGCAATTTTTGCTGTAATTCAGAGACTCTGAAGGAAGGGCATGCACCCCTCCCCCGGGGCCCAACACCTAAAACCCAAGACTCTGAACCTGAAGGACCACATAGCCCCCTAAACCCGAAACAATAAATCCCTAAACCCTACAACTCTAACCCGCCACCGCATCGAAGCTGAGGCTGGCGCGAGACGCGCGCCTGGCCAAGCAGGAGCCGAAATCAATGGACTCTCCCTTGGGCCCTCAAGGATGTTCAGGGCCCCTTTGCAAGATCCTAGACTCTAAACCCCTTAACCCCTAAACCCCTAAACCCCTAAACCCCTAAACCCCTAAACCCCTAAACCCCTAAACCCCTAAACCCCTAAACCCCTGAACCCTAAGTTTAGGGAGTTT